ATTAAAAGCCTTGATGGTGCCAATCATCATTAACAGTTTGAACTAAAGGCTAGAACACAATAGGCTTTAAACGCCTGGATAATCATGAATAAAAAATCTATTATATAAAAATAAAAAGAATAGAGTGTATTATTCTTGAAAAAGATGTGGAACAATTAACTATTGTTTTTCCTCCAAAAAGTCAAAATATATATAAATAACTAGAAAATGGATAATACAAAATTGAACAGCATCATAAACCTGTTTTAATTCGTGTGTAATGGAGCGTTTAATTTTCATACCTGAGCAGTTAATGGTTTCAATCATACCTCTTGAAAACATTTTAAAAATAATAGTTAACCTTGAACACACTTTGTTTTGTTAATATTTTGTGTAGTGTGTGTATTGATTCTATAGATAATTGATATAAACTAGAAAACTAATCATTTTTTTATTATTTAGCAATTATGTGACATATATACATACACATTATGATGATCAATCATGCTACATTTCAATAAATAATCGATGCGTATGGTCTGATAGTTCCAAGGCAAAACAAAAAAAAGATATGCAGTTCGAACAGAAAAGATATATATAAAACACCTTGGATAATGCTGATAAGAATTTCAGTTTAAATTTTCCATTGAAAAGGGCATATTCTTATACCTAGTTTACTGTTGATAATGAAAAAAAAAAGAAAATTTTGAATTTTCTCAAGTGACGATAAATGAATAGTGACAAGGCCCAATAAGAAACCCCATGTGTTGTTGCAGTGAAATCTGTAGCTCTTTTATATATGACATGTATGATGAACCATTCAGAAACAATGTTGAGTATCACAAATCTCATCGCACAGTTTTTACTTCAATCAAATATTTGACATATTCATTGTTCATTTTATGAATAGGCGATCTCTTGACTGAATTGATTTTACATTGTTTGATGTTACCGTATTATCTATTTAAAAATTTTGTGTATGAACCAAATAATTACATGTGTTGATAATTGCCACGCGTATATCGTATGTATAGAGTTTACAGTTAATCAGATTGAAATAATAAATTTATTAGATATAAAATGATGACAATGCACACAATATTAGTGTTTGACACAATTGTTTTAGAAACATACATACATATATATATATATATATATATTCAATTTTCAAACGCTTCCGCGACAACTATTAAACATATTACTATTGGGAACAATAACAGATCAAGTGTCTGCCTTTTATTCTCTATTAATAATGGATATACTCTATAAATATAGACTATAAAATTCTTGTTTGAAATTCTAGTTTTGTTATTAATGTTTTAGAAAAATAGGCAGTTAGGGAGACATAGAGAAAAGAGAGAGTATCCAGATAATTGTTGCTTCTCATTTGTAAATGTGAATGCTATAAAAAGAAATATAGTAGACAAAATGTCTACCTATTTCAAAGAGGTTTTACTTCATTGTTTTCTTTATTGAAGAATAAAGATACCAATTATTTCAGTTAAATCCTAATGGTCCTGATTCTTGGCAATTGACACTCACTATTAAAGATGATTTGATGGAGATGTGCCGCACTTTCTCGATTTCATACGATCTTCAACAGGATCAAAAGAAAAGACAGTTTGTTCTTTTCTCAGTAGAAAAAGAGGTTGATCACCGATTAAGCTATTTAAGTACGTATAAAACGATCATATTTGATGATTAAAATGGAATAATTGAGTGCATACCTATGTTTCGTTCAAAAAAAAACAATTGTCGTCTATCACATTTCATCGAGACGAAAAAAATATATAAAGTGTTTACCTTCTGTATTTCTTCTTTAAGTTTGAAATAAACGCGTGCTTGTCACACCTGTGAAAGACGATGGAAAGCAATGGCGGCAAAATAGTCTTTGATTGTTTTTTCTTAGCCATTAAGTGGCATACAGTCAGTTTTACTTTAAGCCCTCTAACATTATTATTATTATAGAAAAGAAAGTAACACATATCATTATACAGTCAAAGTAACTTTTTTGGCGGTATTTTCTTGTTTGTTTGATCGATATACTGTAATATCTTATGTATACATTTACTTATATTTTTCTTTTTGATACGTTCAATTATATTGTTTGACTTCTATATGGATGTATTGAACAGAAAAAAAGAAGTTTGTACTCTAATTTAGAGAGTTTCTCTGATAATTATAGGGTAATCATCATTCGATTAAAAATTTCTTTTTTTGATGGTAGAGAAAGATAAAAGAAGTTGTAGTACTGTACATGTACATCAAAGTTCTGTTAGAATAGAGCTACCGATGAAACTACATAATGGGCGAAGCAAGAAGAACAATTTAAAAGTACAAGCAGAGACCGCATCAGTATCCGTTAATCATAGCCCGATTCAATCAGTATATCCATAAGAACTGTCATCTATGATGTGTTACTATTATGTATCTAGAAATAGTTTTCTCAAATATTGCTCAGTTGGTAGATATGCTTGCTACAGATCGACTCATACAACGATGTTTTATATATTTCTGAAGATGAATAATGAAGTAGATACCATTATTCCCACTCATCTCTTCCATTCATTGTTGCATTTAACAAGCAGAAAGTCAAGAAGGCTTATCATTTCCTAATACTCTTCTTTTCTTGTATATATGTAGTGTATATAACGGAAATGAGATTTTGTTCCAGGTGTCTATAAAACATGACTATTATCATTATTATTGATAATATTTATGTATACGTCTGCTCTCATTCATAAACACTCAATGACGTTGTGTTTATTTAAAATAACAAGATTCAGATTCTAAGAATCACACATAAAATAGACGATAATCATCACTGTAATACAGACAATAAAAACTGTTTCTTGTCAAAAATTTGTCGTCCAACACCTGTAGTGTGTATACTACGTGATAGAGAGACATAGCGTCTAATTGTCTGCGATAATAACAACACACATAATAGTTAAAACAACCATTAATTTATTTTTGTACAGGCGTCGACGCAACAAAAAAACTACATAGTAGCAGAGTCTTCAAGTGGCTAATTATTTTGGAACGTAATAGAAAGAGAGGGTGCACAAATGTTTTAAATAATGTTGAAATTGAGGGAAAATTTCTTCAATACTTTGACCAAAACTCACCAAAAGTTTATTTATGAATCAAGGATTTTATATTAGGATGGTCCTCATTAGTATGTGCCAGTAATTTCACTTGACTGATTCAATAATAAAGTAGTGTTTAATTGAATTCTAGTTGGTTTAATTACTGTGTTTTTATTCTTTAATATAGAATGACAAGTTCAGTTTCCGCTTTCGTTTCTTCTATCACTGATACATCCGGATTTTCTTTTTTTGATAAGATCAAAAAACAAAATATTCTTTATACTTATCGCTGATCATGATCAATGTAATCGAGTGTGATAAGTAGATTCCGGTTGTTTTCGTTCATTTTTTTTTTTTATTGCTTGTACATGTATTTCTCTCCGTCTGTTCACTTGTCGCGAGTGAATGATCAAAGAACACTTTCATCGCGATAATTATTTGAACCGCTTTTTCAGTCTCCACCCAAGAACAAATTGATTTGCTATTGATAAAGAAAAACAAGAAAAATTGCCCCTTAGGGAATATGGAGACAAACGCTATCGCCTGTCATTATGAATTTCTTACAAATGGATAAGTGAATGTTTGTTGTTTTTAGTTGTAAGAAAGGTGACATGAGAGAAAAAAAGGAAAAAGAACCGATTTGTCAATAATTTGACTACGGTAGTTGATGAAAAAATTAAATGATTACCAACAACTGTATGGATGATGTGATTTGATAAAAAATTATTTAAGCATGAAAAGATCAATGTTGGGCTAATTGTGGCTTCGAGCGATTAGTACTTGCCTAAATATGGAATGCTACTTTGATCTCTGGCACAGTTGCTATTCTGTTTTGTAGTGAACTAGATAATTGAAATAACGAAATAATTTCTCTGAAAAAAATTAAGCTTTAGATCATTTGTATATGTATGTGGTTTTAGGTTTTATCCAAAACGATTCTCATTTTGAATGTTTATTCTGTGAATAAACTGAAATTTATATTTTCAAATTACCATGATACACCTGTAGATTGATGTTTGAAATACACTGAAATTCACACAAGATAAAAATTCGAAGTATACATTGAGTGCTTTTGAATCTGTCTTGACGAGTACATAAAGTTTATTTATTCTTTCGGCTAACACATGACAAGTGTTATAGAGAAGTTTTGTACAATCACTGGTAGGAATAAAGCCCATTTGGTAGCTATTTCCTAGAAGTTTGGAAGAAAGACTTTTTTTCATATATTGAACTTCAAAATGAGTCTACACATGATTCACTTAATCGGGATAAACGGTGCCGTGAAAACCGTAGTAACAGTAGATTCGAGACACAATATCCAATTAATGTTTCATATTTAGACGGTTATAGCAAAAATATCCATGTTTTACTCACCAATGTTGAAAAAATTTTTGGAATTAAAATAAACTTCTATTGGATCTGCTCGTATTGATAAACTTTATATCGTTTATTTAGCTGACAAAGAGTGGCGAGCAAAATTGGAATCTAATAGAATTATTGTAAAGAAAGCAATAAAAATCAATAGCCACGGTGGCCATTGTCTAATGTCATTTTATCACTGACAGTTCGAAGTCAACATATACCATATCGTGACATTTACGAAATATGCATAATTTTTAAAAATATCAGTGAAATTTGTTATTGATGAAAAACGTCCAAATAGCACATTTTGTACAATAAACAAAAACAAATACTTCATAAAATGCAAACATTTGTCATTACAAAAATACAATAGAAAAATACGAATAATTTATATATGATATAGGTTTTAAGACAATCAAACGGAAACACTGTCTAACGATCGATCTATTGTGGTATTTTACAAAAGCTCTCGTTCATGTAATGCCAACCATGCAATCACATATTAAAAGACATAGCTTGAACATTGAATTCATTGAGAGGTCATTTATTATTTTAGAAATTGGTGTTGATTCATTGTTCACCATAAGGTGGAGAAGGCGCACTCGCTACTTCTGACGTCTCAGTAGTATTCATATGTGATCTTATAATATTTGGATCTAATCCGAATCCGGTTGGATTATTCATTACTAATGTATATTCAGGTGGAGTGTCCACAAACGATGGCTTTGAATATTTAATTATTGCTTCGTAATCTGGTGGATTGTTATCAATAATATAAACTGAATTTTCATTATTAACTGCTTCTGCAGCACGAGTGGAAACTATGAACAAACAAAACGTCACCAATCACCATGTATCATCAATGGTAAAAATCCAGAAAAGTTACCTCGTGATCTTGAGAATAGATTAAATTTACAGGCAGTGCATGATCGACAAATACATGGTCGCCATAATGCTTTGAAATAAGCACAAGAAATCGAGAATAAACAAACACTAGCTACAATGAATAATGGTATAGCTCTTGAAAGAAAAAAATAAGACGTGCTTTATTCACACAGTAGAGAAAATCAGTTAATCAATGATATATCTGCTTACAAGGTACTCCAGGACACACTATTACAACATGGGTCTCGAGCATCATAGATTTTTGCAGCACAACACTGATCTGGACAGCTATAGAGATAAATAAATCAATATAAATACAAAATTCATATCTTGATACAAAGAGCAAGTCTTCTTCTATGATAGATGTTTGTAAAGGAGTTTTTCTACTATTTGTTTCACAATACAGTGCAAATGGCTATGTTTTAAATAGCGTTTTACAGAAGCGTGCTAAGAATCTGAGTTTGAAAAGCCAACACCTAACTGCATCGAGCTAGTTATGGCGCCCGTTAAAACTACTACCTGCAGGTGGTGTACCACATCGCTCTTTGAAAGAGTAGATCCCATATCCAAGAAAAAAAGCATTTTTTCAACTCCCATAGGGAGATTTAAGTGTCCAACCTCTCGACTACAAATTCACGAAAAGCTCCGATCTCCATCGATCAACGGTACCCTATGGCAGAAGCGTCCCGGAGTTTTAAGATTCCCGGAGTACTGGCAAACCTTTCCAAAAACTAAAGTGTTTCTGTTGATTTTTAAAATGTTTATTGAGCTTCATGGTATGGAGCAGATAAAATGGAGTATATTCTGATGTTCTCGATCTATTTTAAGTGAGTTATGAATGTTTTGATTTTTGATCTAGGGAATCTACACTTTCAAAGAGTGATGTGATACACCACCTGCAGGTGATGGTTTTAACGGGCGCCGCAAGTAGCTCGATTCAGTTAGGCTCGATTCCAACAGTGAAGAACACACCTTTTTAGCACGCTTCTGTAAAACGTTATTTACAAAATAGTCATGCGCACCATATTGTGAAACAGATAGTACAATAGAGCATCGAGAAAACATTATAATCATTGATGGACTGATTTTATTCGCATTAAGCGACTTTTAAATGTACTGCCTAAGTTTTTTGTGCTATATAATCAGATACCTGTATAGTTATCGTATAAATTAGTTAGTCGCATAAATTTCATTGAGTTTAACCATCACTAGTATGTTTTTCAAATTATTAATTTGGTAGCAATGTGACAGAGACTTGTAATTTTCACCGTTCGAAAGAGGGAACTTGCGGGCATGTTTCCATCAGTAGAAATCTTTTCAAAAAAGCTTCTTAAGGTAGGTTTCTAGAAGTTCTTTAGCAAACTTGATTGCGTCTCAGAAACTTCTAATAGGCTTACATTGATTATTTTTTCATGGATTGATATCCTAGAGTATCCCCTTCAAAATGGGGGTCAAGCGAGGTCTTGATTTTCAGTGATTCAGATGCATTATCGGGTTTTCTTGGATACCCACAATTAGTATCTAGTAGCTATTGAGAACACCAGAAACGAGTGGATTATAGGTATTTAATTATACTGAGTCTTGTGACAATATTTGTTTTTAGAAAAAGATTTTAAAACCTAGCGCAAGTCAAGTTTTTCGAAAATTAGGAATTTCTACCTGTTTTTACCTAATATTAAAAAATTCACTGTTCACTCAAAAAATACTAAAACGAGTTTAGAACCTTATAATGTACAGTATTTAAATCCCTGCCCGTACTAGAAGATCAGGTTCTTTTATTTTGTCCGACAACTAAAAATTTTGAGGATGGTCTTCTATACAGGTCAACCTTTTCCTTACCCTTCAGGACTAGAATTATCTAAAGTCATTTCTATATGCTAATGATGATTCTTTAAATCCGTTTTCGTTCGAGAGCTTCCCATCTGTGTTCAGATTTTACTTATTTTCGTTTCTTTTCCAAAAAAGTTACAACATTTTTTAGTAACCAAGTTTTTGTTGTCGACGAAGTAACAGGATGCGTCTTGGGTTCTTCTCCTTCACTTTCAGTATTTGAACCATTTGAATAACGATCACTTTCAGCAGATAATCTCATGTTAATAATTGTGTCTGATGTTTCGTATTTATTAACAGTAGCAAAATCAATTTCATCCTCCGAATTTGTTGAAGAGGAGTCGAAGTCATTTTCATTACATTGAGTTAGATTTAAGAGACTTAGAAGATGGTTCTGTGATGACATTGTTTGACTTTTAGCAAAAAGTTATATTTAACAAACAATCGCTCGCATTCGTTATACCCGTTTCAAATACATGTACATGATAGAACGAAAAACATACGTCTTTTGGAATAACAATCAATGCGACTGAATATACAATCGAAACAGGACGTTCTTTCAGCGCGACAAGTCAAACAAAATTCTTTCTCTCTACTTGAAATATATCATTATTACTTCTTATGAAGAAAAATTTCTTTATACGAAACCTACAAAAAAATATCTAGAGAGCACTTTAGCTTCTAGAAAGCTTCTGAAAAAAAGAACATGGTTTTTCAATTTTTTCGATCTTATAATCACGTCTAGTGGCTAAAATTAACTATATCCTGATGTTTTGAGTTCGAGATTGAAAACCCGATACTGCATCCGAACCACTGAAAATCAAGATCTCACTTGACTCCCATTTTGAAGGGGATACTCTAGGATATCAATCCATGAAAAAACAATCAATATAAGCCTATTAGAAGTTTCTGAGACGCAACCAGGTTTTCTAAAGAACTCCTAGAAACCAACTTTAAGAAATCTTTCTGACACGATTTCTAATGGAAACTTCTAATTAGAAATGTGTCATCTAGGAGCTCTTTAAATCTTTTTCGGTAATCTCCCAGCGTTACATTATTTACACAAACTTTTTACAGATTCTTTTAGAGCCTTAAATAGCAAATCTTTCGAAATTTAACTGTAACGAGTCGAAGAAAATCGAGAAAATGACAGATACTGAAAGGTTCATTTTTTCTGCACCACCCGTTGCTAATTTAAAAATAAGCAGCGCCGCATAAACTATCATTGGAACTGTTATATCAAATATACTATTTTCTCCCCTAATGAATTAAGTCTTACAAGACAATAAGGTCAAATAAGTTTGATATTATCAAAATATCAAACTGATTTGATCATGGATTTTCGTTCTAATTCATTGTTCTTGTTTTTTAATTTATACTTACGTTGTTGATACTGTTCCATTGGCATACATTAAAGTATAATTACACAATATGCTTCCATAGATCTGTGAGAAAATAGATGTTCATTTATGAGTACAATAGCAATAATATATTCAATGAACTTTTGAGTTTAAACACTCTTTTATTTAAATACTTTTTTGGCAATTATTTCAATCAATAAATCAAAATGACTCGATTTTTCGAAAAATTGTACTGAGTCAATTCGTAGATAATACCTGAGTTATGATAATATTTAGGATGAATAATGTCATGGTGTTAGCCAATAGTGATGGTAGACCCATTGTGGATAGCTGCATTACGTGTTCGATCAATTTAAAAATTAATATTTGTATCCAAATAAAAATTCATTTATATCATTCATGAAACACACAGTTTTAGAGCGTGTTTCATAATAGAAAATATTTTTCTTTTGTTCTTTGTGAGAAAAAGTGAAAAAAAAGAGAATTCAAATATATATGCATACAGTGTTATTTTTTTGCTGATGTCAAACAGTTTATTTACATTTTTTGTTTTTTGTAGTGCAAGTTCACCAAAAATTCCTGCTTGGCAATCGAAGAGAAGAAGAAAAAGTTCTCAAGAAATATATGACATTCTTTTTGCATATTAAATAGCTAGTAAAGAATCACAACGAGTTACAACGTTAGAATAAAATAAAATTTTAAATAATAAAAAATAATATTGTTAGAAGGCGCCGGTAATTCAAAAATAGAGTAGAATTTTTATCGCGACATTCATATATGTTTGGATAGACCGCATCAAGCTGAGTAAGAAAACATTAGATTCAGATTTTTAGAAAAACCTTTTGCGACAGAAAAATCTAAACACAAAATTTCTCTAATTCGTGAAAAAATGCTATATTTTTAAGATGCCGCCAATTCAAAATTTGAGCACTATTTTATTTTGGTCTTATTCATATATCATTCGGTAGAGCTCGACGAGCTCATTAAGAATAACTAGGTTTTAGC